GCACTCTTGTTTGGTCAAGAATTTGCGTTTGGTGGTTTGGGAGGGATTGAATCGGCTCTTCATCCAATTGGGAAGTTTTTACGATTTAACCGACACCCTGAATTTAGAGATGGGATCTTTTGCTGATACTATATATTTGGTGTCAGTTTGAGATCTTATCTATTTATTTATTATTTACCTTTCACGGGAGTTACCATTTAAAACCTTTGATTTAAATGATCAAATGGCGGAAGAGCAATGGGCAACATCGCCTAAGCTCTTTTCCTTCTTTTCATAAGAAGGAAGCACCACTAATGTTATGTTATCACAAGATTGGCAACAAAAGCAAAGTTGTTTTGCTAAATTTTGTCTTACTCCTATTGCATACTAAATTGTATTAGTTATTTATTATACCTATTTATTTCTTGCACATGCTTCAAAGTAATCAGAGTCCTAAATAAATAAACTCCCACATATACTTAAGGCCGGTGCTCGATACCGCCTTGTGCAGTCTCTATGTGTCCTAAATTCTGCTACAAAGCAGCTTTCCTAAGTTCTAAATTTTCACCGTGCCTAAACTTTGGATCTCAGTGCTTTCCCTAAATCATAAGAACTTCTCATCCCTTAATTTTGCCATTTGGTGCTTCCCCAAATTCCAAAAATTTCGTATTACCTAAATTCTGCCGTGTGCCGATATATTCCGCCGCCACTTCCGAGTTTATGGTGAATAACATATCAGTTATTCTTAATTAAAATAGCACTAAATGTAATCTTTTGGCCTATGCGTTTCATTAACAAAATCCATTTTCAGCATATGGAAAGAAATTTTTGTTGAATTTTTCCTCGTCAACATTTCTTATAGCATTTAAAAATCTATAATCATCGCCAAGCGTAAAGCTGCATACAAGATTGCCATACTCTTGTTATTCAATTACTAATATAAAAAAAGTTTAGACAACCCAGCATGAGTTATTGATAAACATGCAGTGATAAAAGCAAAATATAATAAATAATAACTCGCCAGGCTGGCATCAGGGATATAAAATAGGTGAATGTTTGGTTTGAGATGTATGCCAAGTAGAATACTCGGCTATAGAGCCAAATTATTAATCTCACAAATTTATGCTTACATGATTGTTTTTCCATAACGAGGTATTTTATTTAGTGCCTAAGTGAAATTAAGATTCGGAATTTTTAAGTGAAAATCTCCCCATTTTATTATGGAAAGAAATATTAAATGTGCATGTGTAAAGCATTAATAAAATAAATAAATAAAAAAATGTTTGTGGCTTTGAGGTTCGGATTTTAGATCATTCCGGATTTCGGACTTTGTACTGTATATGTTTTATTCCATCAAACTCAACTATATATATTTAATTACACAGAAGTTCTAAAACTTCATATACACACAGAAAGATGTACTGTATTAAAAACTAAACAATTAATCCATACGGGAAAGGGTATAAGTCTTAAGAGATAACTTAAGTATAGGTGTAATGTAATGATACACATTAAAATATTACAGACATTGAAAATTAAAATTCTGTATCTATCGAACTATGTATGCAATGCTCAATACTCACCTAGAAAAGCTGTTAAAGGTTGAGTAAAAATAGATTATACAGGGTTCACAAACATTTCTGAACACGGAAATTACGTACTTTTAAGGACCATTAATGAAAAAAATTAAGGACCTATGGGCAAATGGGAACTGAATAAATTCAGTTAGAAATATTATCTATGCCTGAATTTCACTTTTGTAACACCATCCTAAAAATGAAATAGATCCCTAAATAGTGTGCATTATTATTAAACATGAATTAATGAACATAATTATTAATAAGTTTGAGAATAAAATAAACTTTATGCAATTTATCAAGTAGCATTAAATATTTTACACTTACGATAATTGGTCATATTTGAAAGAAGATAAGCGGTATTTACGTTTTACTAACAATTAGCTTTATGATGATTTTTTTTTTTTAATGTCTCATTTTGTCACATACTTGGTCAGTCTAGAGGTTTAGTAGCAGGTAGATTTTATGCCAAACAGCATAGGTTAAAATGAGAAAAGTAAGATTATAATCAGCATGATTCATAACAAAAGACAATGTTGTCAATGCTGCTGATGAAACTGAGAAACTAGAGAAAACTGATGGATATTCTGAGGGAATTACACGGGAAAAACTCTATGAAAAATTAAGAAGACATATTTTTAGTTAATTACATAGCCAATTTTGCTTTTGCTAAGAGCTGTTTCATAAATTGTGCTTTATAGCATTATACCTTGGTTTATTTTTCAGATTCAAAATATTGTATAATAAGTTGCCAAAATGAAACTTTATAATGTGACAGCAAAAAATGAAAATGTTTTATTTTAACACTATTTTTTAAAAATATAATTTCAATATATTATCATTATTTTAATGGAATTAATCAATGTTAAAATGTTTTAAAAAAAATCGTCGAAAAATTCTCAGATCTCGGAATTAAAAAGTTTCTTATAGAAACCGATCTTAAAATCGCCAAAATGTTGAAAAGCTGCCAATTTAGAACCGTTTAATAAAAGAATTCACACCCCAAAAGCGAAAAGTTGCTTAAGAGCTCTTTACTAGAAAAAATGAATTTCGAAAAGCTCATGTTTCACTTCTTGCTTAGAAACTCGCGTATCCCATCATTTATATTAGGAATAGAAACAAGTTATAACTCATGAGCCCATTCAAAAGATAACCATATATATGGCAGTGACTCGCCAAAAATATTCCTCAAAATGCTAATTCACACTCAAAATGACAGTAGTAAAAACAGTCAGAAGTTTCAGATGATTAAAATTAAGGACCTTCTGCTGATTTGGGCCAAAATTAAGGACCAAAAATCAACTCCAAAAAATCTAAGGACTTTTAAGGACCATACAAACCCTGTTATAGGAAAGAAACTGATATTTGATTTGATAAAATGGCAGGTCATTTGCAAGTTTCACCTATATAAATCAATTAATACTGCAGTGATCTTAAATTAATCAATAGAATCTAGAAATTCACTCTAAAAAATTAATTTTCAAAACTACTGTGATATATTTCAAAATGATAATGAATGAAATATTTAGTATTTGCTTTTAGGTTTAATAACTTTATGCAGGGGGGGATTTGGGGGGGGGCAATTAAAAACTTGAAAGTGTGATTTTCCTTATAAAGACAACGATGAATAAACAAAGATGACTAAAGTTTACATATACTGAAGAAATAAGAAAATTATCGGTATTCTTCCCTTTCCGGGTCTGAATTCAGAAAATGTATGTATAAGTGTATTGCATTTAAGTATGTATGTACATTAGAGTTTTATTTTGCAAGGCAAAAAATAAAATGTAAAAATTTTTCAGACTTTGCTTACTCCTCAAGTCTCAATGATGTAAAAGATATATACACCAAATTTCAAGATTTGATAATATTTAGAGATTGCACATTTTGATAAGTTTTGTAAAAGCAAGCAAAAAGTAGATCTTTCGATGTTAATTACTTATATTGGGAAAACTAGAAATCACAAACGCCAAATAATATTAAAACTAGATATTATGATTAATAGGTAATATGATAAGCAAAACATGCGTTACATTAATCAACTATGAACAATGCAATCCCTTCTTTAGTTCATTTGGTGATGCTCCACTACCCTCAGCAAGAATTGTTTTTGTTGTATATTCCTAAATGAGTTGTTCAACATTCTTGTGAGAGAAATTCTTCATTTTGTGGTATCATTGAAAACTTTAAGAGTGTTCACATGGCTTCCTAGAAAATCACTGCAGTATTCTATCACATTGTGGATCCCAAACAATTCAAATAATATTTGTGTTTTATAAGTAACAAAATAGCTCAGGTCTTTTCCTTCAAAACTAAATTTTTTTTCAATCTAATCATTTCATTTTCTTTTTCATTGCAGGTTTGGTTGCAAAATTTTTAGTCATATTTTCCCTATCAGCCCGAGTAATAACTTTCAATTCTGTTTTTGTCAATTCTGTTCAATTCTGTTTAAGTCAATTCTGTTTTTGTTTCTGACAGATACCAGATGTCTCTTAACATGATGTCTTTGGTATGGCACTTGACACTTGCATCTGAGTAAGTACTCAGAAGCTGTAGCATATCTAAGTCATTCTTTGGAGCAGACTAACTTACAGATGCCTCATGCCAAAAGCAAACAATAAATGAGGCTAACAAAATGTGCAACCTGTTTCATTCCTTTCAATTTTCATTGAGGAATATTCAATTGTTTAGTGAAGAAGACAATTGCATATATTTGCCTTCATCATGCAGAGCCCTGGGATTCAAAAACTGAAGTCATTTTGAGATCAACCTCTTAGGTCCAAGAATAAGAGTTGTAATAACTCTTAATAGTCTTATCTTGGATGACCTTCCATCTTTTAGGACATTTTGGACATAGTTAACCATTCTCACTTGTTTTTGTAGGAAGTCTTGAACGGGACTTTCTTCATCCAGCATTGTAAAATGCGACTTCTTATCAAATAAAGCTCAGAGACTTTCGAACTTCTGAAAAATCTAAATGTCACGACCACTTAATGGTATGGCACAACACACCTCAAACTCTCCTTTCAATATTAATTTAGAAGTCAAACAATATTAGCAAACAGTCTCCTTTCAATATTAGTTCCTGAGTGTGATGATGGCAAGCTCACCACAACAATATTCGTTTGAATTCCCTTTCAATTCTGATACATGACCCTTGGATCCCTCCATCAGTACAAAGCACTTCAATATTAGAGATTTCACTAGCTTGAAATCAAAGTGATTAATGTGTGTAACCCTCCAAATATTATCCAATCTTGAAATTTGGCATATCACTTAGACTCAGGGTGTAAGCAAAGTCATGTGAAAATCACATATTTAGAAAAATGAAACACCCTAATGTATATATGTGTGTGTATATACATACACATGTGCACACATACATACTTTTCTGAACCTAGTCCCAGTAACAGAAGAGTACCAAATTGTCTTCCACACACTTACCGTTGCTGCTGTTTTCTCATCAAACCGCTTGCACTGTTGCAGAACTTTATACAGTTCTCCACCAGGAGCATATTCTAGAACTAGATAAACTCTGCTTTCATCGTAGAAATATCCATATAATCGAAGAATGTTTGGGTGCCTGAAGATTAAAAAAAATTAATAAAGGACTAAACAAGTATACATACATATTTTTTTAAAATAAACACACATCGGAATTTTTTTAAAGATTTTCAACAGGTGGAAAAATTATCAGACAAACCTTACAGCTTATAAATATGTCACAAAAATTAGATAAAATATGTAAATATTATAATTTATCATTTACTGTCTTAAATATACATAAATATAAATGTAAGCATGGTACTTCTTTACGAAAGCAGCTACCATACAGGCTTTTAGCAACATTTCAAATTAACTTGATAAAAGAATAATGTGCCAATTTTATATGGCACTACAAATTTGGGGTTTTACACTTTAGGAGAGGAGGTTCTTTTTCACCTGAAAGTAAATTTAAAATGGTCACTATTTCAAAGGGACATAATTTTGAACAATAATGAATAACATCATAAGCTCAATTTTGCAGTCTATAATGAGTCTGAAAATCAAACACAGTACATCCTACAAATCTGGCGATTAAGTTTGATACATGTGTATGGTAATTTTTATTAAATATAAATAACAGGCTTTTATTTTAAATTTTAAAAGATATACCATTATTTTCAATATTTTATACCAATTCAGATATTACCATGGCTTATTTTAAGCACCTCTACAGTCATGCAAATTACAACTTCATTTCTTTCTTCCTCCTTCATGCAGACATTTAAAAAATATTAATAACTACAATACTAACCGCTGGAGAAGGTAAAGAACCATTCTTGTACTTACTTCTGTGAGTGATGGGAGAGGTTGCTGATCTAAGCGAATTTGATAGAGGGCAGATTGTAATGGCCAAAGACTCGAAAAGAGTATCTCTGCAACTGCACGACTGATAGGTTTTTCATGATATGCCGTTGTTAGTACTTATAGATAACTTAAGTGGATAAATGACATTGAAACCAGCAATAGATTCCAAGGTTTCGGAAGTCCACACATCAATAAAGAAAAAGGACGTTGGAGACTGTCCCGCTTGGTGCAGTAAAATCGGTGCCAGACAGTAGCTCAGCTGACATTGTGCAGGTCCAAGAGCAAGTGTTTCTGAACAACACACAGGTCAAGGAACACCGCTGGATATGGGACTGCGCAGCAGACATCCCACTCGTGTGCTTCTGTTGACCAACCGTCATTGTTAACTATGCCTACACTAGGCCTGGAAATGTGGAGATTGGGCCATATATATAAGTGAAAGACAAGTTACATAGTCTGATGAATAACAATTTCTCATTCATCACAATGATGGCCATGTCAAGGTATGCCATCTTCCAGGCAAACAGTTGCTCCCCCCTTTCCCACACAGCAAGTCATACACAGGTTGGTGGTGGTAGTATCATGCTCTGTGACCCTTAATTGTGGTAGAACAGACCATGAAAGCTTATGAACTATCTGAACATAATTGTGGATCAATTGCACCCTTAGATGCCATATCTTCCCAACTGGAAATAGAATCTTCCAGCAGGACCACATCCCATGTCATAAGGCTTGAATTGTGTTGGAGTGATTCGGGGAGCATAATGCTGAATTCCAATTAATGTCCAGGCCACCTAACTTGTCAGATCTTAACCCGATACAGCAAATTTGGCATATCATGGAGTGGCAGCTCAGAGCTCAAGCACCACCATGTTGGAATATCTCGAATTTGCATGACCGTGGCTTATAGATTTGGTACAACCTAGCTCCAGACATTTCCAAGAACTTATAACATCCATGCCAAAGCAAGTTGCAGCTGTTTTGCAAGCCAGCAAAGGTTGTACAACGTGTTATTGAGTAGGTTGTCATAACGTTTTGGTCTTCAGTGTATACTATCTACCAATAAGTATTGAGACAAGTGTGATAGAAGAGAGGAAAAAATATTCATATCCAATAATTGGTAAAGCCTCCATAAACAGCAATCACAGACTCAAGCCTCCAGAGCATTCTTTCCACAAGTCCTTGTATGATGACTACTGGTATTTTCTTCCACTTAGCTTGGAGAAGACAAGCAAGTTCCTTTACTGATGTTGGATGGCTGTTGCACTCTTTAATTTGGTAATCTAATTCATCTCAGAGGTTCTCAATAGAGTTTAAATCTGGGCTCTTGGAAGCGCAGTCTGTTCGGTTAACCCTGTTGTCACCACACCAATCCATGATGGATCTTGCAACATGACAGCGGATGTCGTCATCCTGAAAGTAACGTGGGTCCAGCCCATAAAACTGCCACAATGTAAGAAGCATACTGTCACCCAAAATATTGCAGTAGGAATTGGGGTTGAGTTTATCATAAATTTAGACCAAGGTCCCCATCCATACCACGAAAAACAACCCTAGACAATAATTCCACCTCTGCCAAACTTCACTGTGGACAAAATACATTCTGGCAGAAAGCATTCTCCAGGTAGATGCCACACCCAGATCCTGCCATCTGAATGGTATGGGGTGAAACTTGATTTGATACTCCACCGAATCTGTTTCTACTGATCTACGGTCCACTGTTGACGTGCTTTGCACCATACTAACAGAGCAGTGCAGTTGGACTTTGTGATCAAAGGATTATTGGGCAGTAGCACAAGAATGAAAACTACATAGATGTGCTCCCTAACAGATGATACCGACAGGAACAACACTCCCGGATGCCTGTTGAAACTCTTGGAGTATATGGGCTATCAGTTGGGTGCAGTTCTCTTACAATCACTGCTCATCTTTCACTTCTGAATCACATAGGCTACTGTTAACTTTCGGTAATTCAACTTATAGATATGGCCCTTAAGGTTAGGCAATATCTGCGACACCTGATGATCACACCTTTCCAGAAATCAGATAACTGTGCACTTCATGGAGCCTTGTATGTGACTAACTACAATGTTGTTTCCCAGATGATATTTAATGCTAGAGGGCATGACTTACAGATATCATGCATCTGAATGTGTGTCCAAATACTTATTTGCACATAGTGTACATTGCTTAAAAGAAATTTTTAATTCCAGTTATCTCAAACCAAGTAAAATGTTTTTGATGAACTGAAGTTAAAAAACATACCAAGGTATTGTAATATAGGAAGTCATGTCATATATCAGAGATTTATATTATAAAAGAAAGTGAAGGTCTCAAGACTTCAGTTTGCATTTGCAAACTTCAGGGGTGTGCTAACTATAAGAGCAGATCAGTAAATTACTAAAGAAATTCAATTTAAATGTAGATTTCTTCAGCAACTCAGTTTGTTTATAAGCTTATAGAATAGCATTTTGTCATAAATTTAAGAAAAAGAAAGAAATTTTTACCTTAAATGCGACTGAATTTCTATCTCCCTCCTGAGTTGGTGTTCTACACCATGGCTCTGCAGTTGGGATTTGAATAAAACCTAAATCATGTTGAGAAAAATTCACTTAAAAAGCATAAAAAAAAAAAAAAAAAAAAAAAAAATCAGCAATACTTTTCAAATTACAAGCCTACAAAATAATTTCACCCATAAAAAAAATTTGAATACCTAACAATAAGTTTAAATTTGATTATTTCTTCATTCTGTCCTAAAATTAGAATCTATTTATAATATATATCTAAACTGCATCATACAACCTCATGTAATGCTGCAATGCATATACCTTTTATCCAGTCACTGAATAAGATTTCCGTTTGCAACAATATATTATGTAATAGACTGGAGGAGTTTATTGCATAGATAGAATGATGACAGTTAGACAGATGTGCTGTACATTCAACATAATGTTATTACTGAATAAAAATTCTTTAGACACATGATCTGATTCGCATACCACCATACAATTTTTAAAAGCTTGCATTTTAAATCATAAAACAGACAATAGGCAGAAGCGAGTGGTGACATATTACTTTGATGCAGGAAAGTGGGAGAGCCCATGATGCATTTAGCAGAAATCTTATTCTGTTAATGGACAACAGACGTCTGCATTGCAGGGTTACATAAAATTTTATGATAGATTAATTTTGAAATGACAGTTTAGACTGATATTATAAACATTTACTAATTTAAGAGAACAGAAAGGGGAAGTCGATTGCTTTTATATTTTGTATCTTACATACACACATACACATATACTATTAAAACAAAATAATAATTTTCCATATTAAAAGACAAATGCAAAAGAAGTTGAGAACCAGTAAAAAACTAAATTACAATTTAAGTGAAAATAAAGTAGCTAAAATATTAGAGCTAAATATTACCAAATAGCTAAAATATTAGAACGGGTAGAATGAACAATTTTTGTTCTCTTCAGTGGAATGGACAAAAATTACTTTGCAGAAGTGCAAACAAAAAGATCAGATAGACTCAATTGGTTAAGTGTTTAGGAAACTATCAACTCAAAACTTATTTAAACCACTGAAAATTCTGAATTCTATTTTCTGCAATGTCATTTTATACATTCTTGCATTTAACAGCACCAAGGTAAATAGAGAATACACCCTTTACAATTTTTATAAGAAAAAGAACACTTAGCCCTAAATTCTTACTTCCTTGTACGAAGTAAAAAGGAAGTATTGTAATCGCGAAAAGTTTCAGGCAGCATATTTCAACGAAAATATCCCATTTTGACCTCTTTCAAATGCAATTTAACGATGTATTTCCTTGATATATGTACGTAAGGACAGAATAAAACACTCTTTTAATCCAAAAAAATTATAAAACTGCTTTAAAATGAATTCTGAAGAGAATTTTTCGCGGCGTCTGTACGAACGTACGTGCATATCTCGCATAACTCAAAAATGAATAGCCTCAGAACGTTGAAATTTTGTATATAGGACTGCTATAACATGTAGCTGTGCACCTCCTATTTTGGTTGCAATCGCCCGCACCAAACGTGTATAAATATATTTATATATACATCCACTCTGTTACCCGGCTCAGTGATCTCCGTTCCTTTACTCTTATATGTTTGTAAATTGTACATTTTTTGCTTTAAAAATGATTGAATTATGTTGTTCTTATCTTCCGGTTAAGGTTTTTATGCCTTTCGTAATTCTGGAAGCAATAGTTGTACAATTATCAACAATTTAAAAGCTGCTTAAGTGCAGTTAAGTTTTAAATAACATGGCGGACATATTTGTTTACATTTGAAACTGCAGAATAGTAGATTTGTTGCCAATCTAGAGAGGCTAAGCTTTGCAACAACAAAGATAACGCCTTCATTTATTATTTAAATCATGCTTAATCTTTTCTGGAATTTTTTCGAGGAAATAAGCGTTTAAGATTTACTTCGTAATTTTTAATACAGATATTTTGAGTTTTTATGTATTTTTGCCTTGTTGCTAAGTGAAAACTGAATTAATTGAATGAGAAATACTCAATCGTCTGTGAAAAATGTTCTTTTTTTGTTTGTTTGCTAATTTCTTTTTTATACATATTCTAGCTTTATTATAGCATTTGAATAAACATGTGGCAACGATTAGATAATGTCTTTAAATGATAAAATTTTGTGCATTTAAGTTATAACGAACGAAATATAATAGTGTTAAGTGAACCTAGAGACAGGTGTCGCTATGGTAAAAAAGTGAATTTTAAAGAATGCATTTATCTTTGGTGGTTTTGCGTGTCGGCGAAGCAGATTTAATTCATCCAAGTTTAAATGAAATGGAGAAAAAATGCGTATAATTTAATATTCCGTACAAGGACTTCATGTGGTGTGCACATCAGATTTTTTTTATTTATTTTCTTTATTTAAGCAAATACAGATCAGAAAACTCACTTTTAAAGCTACAACAAATTTGCTTTTTCTCTCACGGGCTAAGTAAACGTTACCAAATTTTCCTTTTCCCAGTGGTTTCCCTATATCAAAGTCATCAAGTGTCCATCTCTTCTTCCTGAAAGATATTGTTTAATAAGTATTTAAATTGCTTCTTTTTCCCTACAATTATACAGAGTTATTAAAAATTTGTATATAAATTTTAAGACAGATACAGAATTTATGCTAAGAAACCGTATTTGTATAAAAAACATGTCTGGATGCCACCTTGAATGTGCTAGAAGACATTATCTGGCAGGAGATTAGTTGGACGATTCAAGCTATTTCCATTTAAATTGATGCTTGTGAGTGAGTAGGACATCATGAAAGTGGACTGGTGAGCATTTGTCTGCAAGATATTGAAGCAGAAATGAATGAGCAAAGATAGATATGTGCCAGGAAGAGTTCCACAAAATTGTGTGCCAAATCAATCTGCAGCAAAGGCTGACTGAAAGATGAAATAGATATGATTTTGATTAAGAATAAAGGACACAGCTACATTGAAAGAAGTGGTTGCTTATCAAAATGCTACTAAATGCATTCCACATATGCAAGCCATTTCACATAGATGAGTAATCAAAATATAACACTAATTTTTTTTTAGCATTGAGTCTGCCAGTGAGATAACAGTAAGGAGTTGCTGATATGTTCATCTTAGGAAAAAAATAAGATTAATTAAATAAGATTAATTTCGAAAAAGGCATGATCATAGACTTAAGAACTCTGATCCAACACATCTGAAATTGATTATACTCTAGGCCAGGGGTTCTCGACCGGTGGTACGCAAGAGAAAAATAGGTGGTAAGCAAAGAGGCAAAGTATTTTTAACTATTAAATTCAAAAATTAAAACTCCAACAACCTGATTGAGTTTTTCTCTAACACTCGTAAATTTATGAGATCTGAGCTTTATTCAAGAGTGGTGGTGGTACTAAATGTTTTCAATTTTTGTTTAGATGGTATGCATTAGTCAAAAGGTTGAACTGCTCTAGGCTTTTCTAATAGTATCCCGGGTGTTTAGAGAATGGCAGTTGAGGAAGAGTGGAAAAGTTTCAGGCTGGAAAGACAATTTTGAACAAAACATGCTAGTGAATGAAAGCATGTGGCAGCTGGCACAACTGTTTATAAATAAAAGCATAAAATTGCAGCTAAATACAATTCAGGTGCATTAGATAGCATATTCAAATGCATAATATAATGGACTTTAAAAATGGAAGAGTTTAATAGCAGCATGTTTATGCTATGACTGACAAACAGAAAATCATTGTTGCCTGCAGGTGCTGAAACACCAAAACTGATTCGTGACAAAAAAAAAAAAAAAAAAAAAAAAAAAAAACTGCTTGGCCTAATAAAATTTGGTTCTTGCTCCACCATGAACATAAGATCAGAATATATTGCAAACAGAACAAATTCATAGACCCTCTTTAGCCTAATGATAATTTTGCAAGTTGTGGCCATGGAATTATGGTCTAGGAAATATTTTCATGGAGTACAGCAAGTCCGTTGATGGCTGATAATAGCTATCAGCACCATAGTTTACCTCAATGTTACTACTGATCACATAGACTAATTTATGACTGCGATAATCCTTGATACAGATGGTCACTTTCAGCAAGACAATGCATCTTGTCACTGCGCATGACTGATCTCATATTGGTTTGAAGACCATGATATACTTTCATGGTCAGCTCAGCCCTCTGACTTAAGCCCCATTCCGCATTCTTGGGATGAAGTACATAGAACAAACGATGTGCACAGTTGGACTGGAAGAAGTGGCTGTATATGAAATGCTACTGAATGCAGTCTACACACAAGCTATTTGACATTTAAATGATGCTTCTAAACCCAATATGTGACAAGTATTACATGTTAGAGTCCTGACATCCCTTTCAGATTCAGTTGTTGGAGGCATGAGATCAAAATCAACAAATGAAATTTAAATGCCAGTTTTTGCAGTTGTATGCAGCAAAGCTGGACCTATAAAGTTTGGAAATGAATGAAATTAGTGCCAATATTATGTCAACATGAGCTAATATTCCTCAGAAATGATATCAGCATCTTATTGAGACACCCCATTCAGAAGAAGAGTGGCTGTGATCAAAGTTAAAGTTCGACCAATGTCCAATGTATTATTAGAAGGCGTTTGGTTAAGCAACAAGGGACACTGCAAAATAAAGATTCAACACCTATTTTGTTAGCCAGAGTTTGAAATATATTTGGCCATATCTTCTGTCACGACTTAATAAATACAGATAGAAGTGGGTGGAATACAAGAAATTCACCATTTGTTGTACAGGTAGAGTCCTGCTGAACTAACATGTGCAGTTCTGCCCCAGTTTTGAGAGAGAACGCCCTCAGGTAGCAGTTTAAGTATCTCTCACCACCATCTGAAGAAGACTTTTGGCTAGTTGTATATTTTGAATGCTTCCTTGCCACACAGACACTATATGCTTATAAGCATCCATGCCTTCTCCTAGCTCATCAATATGGCAGTCAGCAAGGTAACTCTTATGACTTAAACAGATTTACACGATGCTGTAGGAAATACCCTATGAAGTCCCAACATACATTTGCTGCTATGTGGGATTTCATATGTGATATGTAAGAGTATCTGAATATTTTCTCACCCAGATGTATTAGCTGAACAGTCACATCAGTTGGAACAATAATCAGCACACATTTCCTACTCATATATTTCTCTACAATTATCTCAAGAATTTTGTCTGCGAGACTTCCACTGAATTTGCCACAGACTCCGTCACAAGATTATAAAGGCAGCTGTACCCCACCAGTAGCTGAATGTGTAAGACCATCGAATACTGGCATTTTGTCATGGGCTTGATCCCACTTGAATGCACTGACTACATGGCTAGTTTTCCCTATGTGCAATATGAATACAAGCCAGATTTCCTTAGAAAGTTCTCCAAGAAGGCATGTAACCCTTGCACGCTTTTCCATATTTGAATAACCTAACCTTTCAGGCAGCTGGATATGTCCACAATAGACTTAGCATTTTTTCAGATGTTTATTGACCTACATACAGACATTGTAAGATATATAATGCAATTAAGTGAAAGAACTGAGAGTGCTTTCTATTTCTTTGAAAATAGATAGCTAATATGTCATAAAATAATCCTTTTATTCTTTTTATTCATTTATTTCTAGCATCTCCAGGTGGCCTTCTCGCACATATGTTGATAGATTATTAGTTTGTTCATGTGTGCCAGACCCATCTCTCAATTTATACTAGACATTTGAATTACTATGCATAACATTAACTATTGTGATAAAACAATAATTTTGAATAGCAAAAGTAAGGGTAAAAATAGACCACATTTGCACAGTATTTCCCCCACAGATAAGAAAAATGGTAGTAAATCAAAATTCTGAACATTTTCTAAATTTTCATTGCATAACAGTTTACCCTTAACATATATTCCAAGCAAAGTCATTTAAGTAAAAAAGAAGAACATTTCTGAAATCAGGAGACGGGAAATTGGTTCATGCAGCCATCCTTTAACAGTAAAAGGCTTAACTAACCCGCATACTCGGAAATTGCCGAATATTCCGTATTGTTGAGCGTAACTGGAAAAAGAGCAGGGGGGGGGGAGATTGTAGCTGTTCTTTAGATTTCTTGGCTAAATAAATGATTTTGACATTTCGATATGTGCATCATATAAAAATAGACCAACGGAACTGAGAAATATTCTGTTTAGAAAACACAGTAAAGCTCTTTTAAGTGTTCATAAATAAATCTCAGACTGAACATCAAAATTAATAATCTCTGCAAAATACCGCAAACGGTATTGGGCAATACGTGCGTCCTAATTCTTCCATACGTGACATTACGCAATAGGAACCAGAATCAACAGCTGCCGCTATTCAGAGAATAAAAAACTAAATAAAGGAAAAGAAAGAGACTTACTAATCTGGGGTGTTTTTGATTCTAATTTTGAACAGACTGCGTTAAATTTTCAGAATAGAATCATTCTTCACTTGGGTTGGGTAGACCGCAAAACTTTTAGTCCTATTCAATCCAGATTGGACAGTGGGAAAAAAAAAGTCCGCTGCTTCAACATTAGAGATATTGCGGAGAAAAGGGAGAACCTCCCAACCTCCGCACTGTATAAGGTATTGGGCTTAAAAAAAAAAAAAAAAAAAAAAAAAAAAAAAAAAAAATTCTGACTATTTGATTACTTTTCTTTTATTTAAGCCATTCCGAATATTATTCCTTAGAAAGCTAATCTGTGCAAAAATATATCCATTTTTGGAAGTTTATCTACACTTCAGCAGCTATTACAACTATAGTATTATAAATATTCATACATATACTCACAATATAAGCATAACGATCATAATAAACACGAATATGAACTGACCACGCGGAACGATAATGCAAATTATTAAAATCTTGATATAAATTCAAACGTGTGTAGTATTTGGGTGGGAGGAAAAGAATACTGAATGTACCGGAATTTTCTACGTTTTTTGCAATTCTTTGACCAATAGAACGACGTGCACCTGTCTGTACTCTGTGCACCATAGGTTACGTTAATGCAGAGAAAGGGGGAAAAGCTATTTCCGGGAGTATGATTCACCATCTGATGTTCCATATAAGGAAGAAAAGTTCTTTATTTAGTTTCGGCTTTGGTACAGGTTTTAAAGAAAAAGTAAGCACCTATATGGGCCTTTATATTTTATTTTCAAATATAAGGACTTACAATAAATGATTTTGACATTTCGATATGTGCATCATGTTGCACATATCGAAATGTCAAATATCGAGCACTTGTAAGGACGGCTACAAACCCTGTTAAATGAGAGAAAATTTCAAATTCCAATACAAAATATTTTCTTTTTTGACTATTAGCTTTAAAATATTAGTTATGATCAATTTATAAACAATCGCCATATTTAAATAAATAAAAGGCAGGCATGCTAACAATGCACTTTTAATGATAATTTGCCAATTGTAAGATTATCTACAAGATTCAAATGAAAACAGAAATTAAAGAAAAAAATTACTATCATAAAATTAAGCATCCAACAACTGCTTTTTTCAGTATAAACAAAGACAAATTGCTTTTAAAGACCACTGGATGCTTTCTTTATAATAAGCTTATATACTAACGCACACCTATTAAACAAACTGTTGCATTCCATGGGTTTGTTGATGCTTCTTTTAAAAATAACTTCAATAAACCAATAGAAAATGACAATATATGTATAATAATATATCATATATAATTTGTTGTATATAATAATAAATATATTTTGCTAATTACTTAGATATATTTATATGTGATGAAAAAGGAAGTTAGAAATACTAAAGTAGGAACAACGAGATGTAGAAACTCTGAAATTCCGATGGAGAAGCTTAGAATGCAGATCTGTATGGAAGAGGAAGAATTCTGATTGCGTAGAATGCTAAAATGCTGAATCTATAATAACTAAGAAACTTGGCAGCCAAGTAAGATTTAATATTCACGTTTATCGCAATTGACGTTTGAGGCTACAATTTACATAGCATTCTTATCATGTCCATTCAAGAAAATTTACAATTTCGATAGAAAGAGAGCACACTGAAAGAGCATCATCACAGGAAGAGAGGCAGAAGTTAAAGTGCTCAATTATCCAGCATGGAAGCTTACCAAGAGAAGGTTTTGGTTTAGGTTAGAAAGGTTTCAGTTCTTCAAGTTCCAAATTAGATACATCATGCAAGCCACGTTATATACATTAATCTAGAAATGATGTAATCCAGGAAAGTTATTACAATTTTTTGAATACAGAGAGGAAATACCAAATTAAAAATATTACTAAATTAAATTATAAAGCTGATTTACATATTTTTTAAACTTACAGCCGCCAACAAATAAATAAAACAGCCTAATAAATAGTTACAAATAGCTGAAGGAGAATACAGATACAGTACAAAGTTCGAAATCCGGACGTCCATTATCCGGAAATGATCTAAAATCTGGACCTCAAAACCCACCAACGTAGGCTTTACGCATGCGCATTTGATTCCCCCCTCCGTACATAATAAAACATCTGGAGAGTCCCGATTCTTAATTTCACTTCGACACTAAATAAAATACCTTGTTATTGAAAAAACAATTATTTTAGCATAAATTTTTACCATCAGTAATTTGGCTCCGTTGCTGCGTATCTGCTCGGCATACATCTCAAAACCAAACATTCCACATAGATACATCGTTGATCTGATGCCAACCTGGCAAATTATCATTTATTATGCTTTCCTTTCATCACATGTTTGTGAACACATGACAAATTTTACTCAATAACTCGTGTAGCGATGCCTAAACAATTTTTTTTTAATACTAGTAATTGAAAAATAAAGGAGTATGGTAACCTTTTATGTTCACATTACACCTGGCGATGATTACAGATTTAAGTTAAATGTGCTAAAATATGTTGATGAAGAAAAATTTACCAAAAATTTCTTTCCATATGCTAAAAATAAATTTTGTTGATGATACTCATAGACCCAAATATTACATTTAGAGCTATTTGAATTAAGAATAACTGATTTGTTATTCACATAAAACCAGAAACAGTGACAGAGTCAGAGAATTTAGGAACCACAGAGACTGCATCAGGCGGTAAGCTATCCAGCGACAGCTCTCAATAAGGTTTAAGTATATGGTGGGAATTTATTTATTCAGAACTCTGATATGCATTAAGTACGTGCAAGAAATAGACATAAATATAATAAATAACTAAACTAATACAAATTCAGGCTTAATTGTCTCAGTGTGCGATAGAAGGGAGATAAAATTTAACGGAACAACTTGTCGTTAATCACCAAGCTCATGATGCTTGACCAATATGTATAGTGAAGAAATAGCTAAATTTGATGACAGCTGCTAATTTTAAAGGTTTTCGTATATCGTAAAACAAAGGCGAAATTTTCCAATAGCAGTAATAAATAAAGATGATATAAAACAAGTTTTTCATTGTCATGACAATGCTTCTCGATCATTAATTAATTAAAGAATGGCAAAATCTGTAGTATGGTTCTAGATCCGGAAAAAAAACCACTACTGATAGTTAAGAAAATGACAGAGAAGTTACCAAAAACGAGAAAATTTCGATTGACAAGTTAGTCGGAATTCTTGAAATAGCAGTTACAGGACTTCAACAATGTAATAAACAAGAGATTATGTCCGTCTACAGAATTAAAGAGAAAGTACTAGCACAAAAAAATGAAGCAACTCGCATTGAAAGAAATTTTTAATAAGGCAAACAAATAAATATTAAGCTTTTTTTTTTGTAAATGTTGATACCTTTTAGATCATAAATACTTCATTATTTCATATTTTTAATTTTATAATTTCTACATGCCATCTTACTTGATTTAAACTGATGATCTAATATCCGGAAAAATCCCAAATCCGGAATTGCCCGAAGTCCCGACAAGTCCGGATTTCGGACTTTGTACTGTATTAAGCAATTTTTCCTTAGCACATAAGAAGCATTGCCAATTGTCAAAATAACTTATATTAAACTCTAAATGGCATTCAGCTCACGTTCTTTAAATCTCTAAATCTCACAGTTGAATAATAACTAACTTGCTGAAGCTCTTGGTGCCATATAGAGCATAATACAAACTAAAACCAATTGTCAAAGCTAAGAAGTATATATGCTCATATATCATGTTCCATTTGAGCTATGATTCTACAATTTAAAGGTTGCCATATTCAAACAAAGTCAGATCTACAATTTTATTTAAGAAACAAATGCTTATATATAAAGATTTAATAACTAAATAAATCAATGTATAGTATTATAACAATGCAATAAAAGGAATTTAAATAGTTACGGATACATATAATAAATATGCCAGAATAAGTCATTATACAGGATTGAAATAAGATAAATGAATACATTGCAAATAATATTAGATGCAGGTATTAATTATACAGTTTTAAATACATTTTTAAAGAAGTAATAGTCTTACTCAGATTGATCATTTGAAGAAGTGGAAGCAGTAACAGGTTTCACAGCTGCAGGTTTCTTAAAGACATTCTAAAATTTTAAAGTATTTTTAGATAATGTTAAATTGAATAAGTTTTTTAACAGTTCAAACACCTGGCAAATTTGAAAACAGATTTTATAAATACCAAGATAATACTGCATATTTGTACCTTAGAAGGAAACAGCAATAGTTACTTCCAAATTTAATTAAAACTGGGTTGGTACTTTCATATACATATCAGAACTTAATTTACATAGCATTAAAAGGGTCATCTGTCAGTTATTACTGGTTACCTAGATACAATATTTGAAAAAGCCCTACTGAAAAATTTCACAGAAGTAAAAGGTTAGATACAGTTCAATTTCTATGGTGCAAGTGAATTGGTAAAGTATAGTTTCGTAAGTTTGTTTTTGTTGATAATATACAAGAAATTGTATGCTACAAAATGATATCAAGAGTCAGTAAATTAGTAACTAATAATATTAAAAATCACAGATACCATCAATCAAAATAGTGAGTTGAAACTCTATATAAATTTCTTCAAATAGCAAGTTTATGTTAAAAATTTAAACTTATATAAATATCATCAATTTCCTCATAGTGCAGTTTGACGTTATATGTTTAAAATAATCTATTCAACTTATTTATGCAAACAGTACATTACAATTTTGCCCATCAATACTCATTTCCCCTCTTATGAAAATCATTTATAATCGTAACAACATAAAGGGGAGGAGAGATGTGAACATAACGGACAAATTACACTTGTATCAGAAGGGGTTGATGAAACTGTAAAGCAGGTCTATGATGATCAAGAGCTTCACAGTCAAATATATACTGGCAATTTTATCACATAATGAAGATGCCTCCGATTACAAAAAATTATTAATATTGTAAACTGATTATGAGAGAAACATCCCAAAATAAAAGTTATTACTATACCAACATTATTGACATTTGCCTCTTCTTACCTTTAGAAAGTAGGCTTTAGTCAAGTCGAAAATTAAGAAACAGGTTGAACAGTTTTGAATGAAGTGATTTAACAATTTCAGCAGTTTTAGGTTAAATGTAGTAATAAAAAAATTGCATCAACACATCAAGCACACCCATCCCATTAATTAAAGTTGAATTTCTTTGTAATCATAATCTGAATTTATTTCTGAAAACTTGTTTATATTCTTAAAACTAAAAAATAAAAAAATAATCTAATAAATTTTTTTTTCAAAATTTTTGTTCATGTTTTAGTCTAATTATTTGCGATTTATATGCAAAAATTTGTATTATGGTTATGCTGTATATTTTAGAGAAAAATGTAAGGAGGTCAATGAAGAAAATCATTTTTGAAAAAGCGGTTGATGCAAGAAAAGATTTGGAATTCCTGACCTTGGTAATTAAGAAAACAGTTTATCAACGAAGACAAATTGGTTCTCATTTAAAACAAGCTTTTACTTTCTAAAACCTGAATACTGAGCATGCAATATAATATTAAAGGCAAAACATTTAGCATGGTTTAAAACTGATTTGTTGGTGGTAGATGTGGGTATAAAATGGCATCAGTTTTATTAAAATAGATACAATTTTGACAGTTAACAATGCAGAGATAATATGATGACATAAAACAAAGTATCAAGGCATACTAATACATTAGTGCAAAAAACCATGTACTTAACAATTCTTTATTTCTAACAAACAATATTGTTACTTTTGTATGTGATAACTTAATTAGTACTTGCATATTAAAGCAGTACCTTAGTACATGTCACCAGATTTTCAAAAGAACGTGCCAAACTCTGGCAACCATGCACATAACCAAACTTCCACCAACTGCACTGATTAAAATTCTTCAGTTCACTGCCATTTTTGTACGCATTGTCTTTTGTTGTATTCCTGTGCCAATGGTTTTTTATGAACAAAATGATATTTTTTCCCTTAAACTAAATAATAAAATAATTTTAAAATATGAGCTTGTGGAACTTGCCAGCAATGGAATACATAATTTTACAGAAAATTTTCTAAAAGGAACAATGATAATTTCCTTGATAGTAGCTGTTGCTGAGGATTGCATAAAGCTGAATCTCTGCAATTCTGAATTTTTTATAATTCAAATTTGTATTTTAAATTGGTAAAATATGTTTTCCTTTTATATGTTGATAATGTTAATCTATTTACAACAAATATCAATAGTTTAGGAATCTGTTAAAAAAAGAGGGGGTGCAAAAATCACCGACTTAACCTTTTAAACTTAATTCACAGTTTAAAAAATGTTATGTAGATTACATGAACTTACTAAATACAGGCCACATATATAAATGATTCAACTTTAACCATTTTCCTTTGAATTAACTATTTCAATAAATCACACATATCCTATGTAAAATATCACATGCTTTACTTTGTATCTATAATGCAATTACGGGGATTCATAATGAACAGCAGCTGGTTTGGTTTGCTTTTTATTGCTTGCTTAAAGAAAGCAGGTACATTATTGGTAAGGCCAAACCCAATCCGTACAAACTACGATATAAAATTTCAGACGACACACGATGTGTACCCTAGTTTCATTTGTTCAGATGTTGGTGGCAAGGGACCACTGCATAAGAATTCTCCATTAAGCAGCTGGAAACTTTATGCAAATCTACGACTTTTCACCAAAACAGGAATTTTCACATGGATATTCTGGCATGAAAGTACCCTCCCACTCATAAAATCCAGTTTTTAAGATAAAAAAAAAAAAAAAAAAGGTTCATAACAGTATACTTATTTATTTATTTATTTTTTTTCCAGAACTGCTTGGTCAAGGTTTCTGCCTTGGCAAGTAGTAGCCAACCTGCATAAAAGGTCTGAATGTCACTGTTCTAGTATGTTTTTATGCATACCTGTGACAAGGCATAAAAATTTTCCGTTTTTACTCTACAGAGTAAAGAATTAGATTGAATGATGATGAATTACTAACATGCTAATGATAGAAGTTTTAAGACAATAAGTTTAAACAGTTTACCTTTAATTTATCCCTCAACAAATTCTCCTTTGCATTTTATGATTTATGCTGAATAATTTCTAATTATTGTTTTATCTTTTTTTTTTTTTAAATACTTGATATCAAATGATCATTTGGCGACATAGTCACAGGTGCCCTGGGAGATCTGAATGCCTCATGATTCTGTTTGTTGCTGGTACCAAACAAGTGTAAAAAATATTAGCATCTTTTGAATTTGAGATATCGAGTGCCCTGGTTTTTAAAGAAATCTATGGATATTTAATCAGAAAGAAAAACATTTAGAATGAAATTTTTAAAATATGAAATAAATTTCTTTTTAAAATATAATTCCTCGAATTAGAATTTATATTTATTTATTATTTTTTTGCCTAATATTTTATTTCATGGTAAAATTAATGCAAGTGCCTTGATATATAATAAAGCACATTATCATGAGCTGTAGCACACGAAGCTCAAACTAGTAGTTTTATATGTACATAAAAAAACTTTTCCTACTCCCAGACTTTGAATCTTCTAAATGCTTAATGGTGGAGCTATAATTTTTTACCTCAAAAGTATAGTTATTCTGTATATAAACGCAGGAATTTGCAAGATAGCAAACAATGGAATATCATGATTATAACATATTTGATAAAATATTTATTTTATCAGATGCATATAATAATTATGGTGCATTAGTCACAATAACTATTTTGTAGATTTTAATTATCATTCTTGATCCAAAAATTAAATATAGCTTAAGAGATCTGAAAGCATAATAAACAGTAAGTTTAGCATATGTGATGCATAATGTTACAAACCGATCAACAAATAATATACAGCTATCACATTAACTGTTGAAAAACCAACAATTTCTTATTATACAGTATAAAGTCCAAGGATCCAGACATCCAATATCTGGAATGATCTAAAAGACGGACCCCAAAGCCACCAACAACTTAAAAAAAAAAAAATTTTTTTTGTATGTTTTACACATGCACATTTGATTCCTCCCAGGTATAATAAAATATCTCGAGAGTTCAATTCGGCACTACATAAAATACCTCATATTGAAGAAACAATCATTTTAGCATAAATTTGTATGATCAATAATTTGACTCCATGTATAAGTATCTGCTTGGCATACATCTCAAACCGAAACATTCTATATAGATACATCGTTTATTTTACACCTACTAATATTTTATATCCCTGATGCCAATCTGGTAAATCATTATTATATTTTAATTTCATCACCGCATGTTTATCAACACATGACAACTTGAGTAATGACTCAATGTAGCAATGCCTAAATAATTTTATGTTGGTAAATGAACAATAAAGATAATTTTTTATGTTATTAATTGGATAATAAAAACTTTTATGTTGACATTATGCTTGGCGACGATTACAGATTTAAGTTCAATGTGCTGAGAAATGTTGACGAGGAAAAAATTAACAAAAATCTCTTTCCATTTGCTAAAAATACATTTTGTTAATAATACTCATAGGCCAAAAGATTAAATTTAGTATTATTTGAATTAAGAATAACCAATTTGTTATTCACATAAACCCGGAACCAGCATCAGGATTCACATGGCCGTACCGGGCGGCAGAATTTAGGAAAGGCAAAGGAAGGCGCTTGGTAGCAGAAGTTATGACCCATAGAGACTACATCAGGCGGTAAGATATTTAGTGCCAGCCCTCAAACCTTAAGTATAGGTGGGAATTTATTTATTCAGGACTGGAATTTATTATAAGCATGTGCAAGAAAAGGTGCATAAGTATAACAAATAACTATTATAAGCATGTGCATAAGTATAACAAATAACTGAACTAATACAATTCAGGCTTAACTGTCTCAGTACGCGATAGAAGCAAGATAAAATTTAGCAGAACAGCTTGTCTTTAGTCGCCAATCTCACAATACATAGTCAAACATGTATAGTGAACGACAGCTAAATTTTATGATGATAGCTGCGAATTTTAAAAGTTTTCGGAATATTGCAAACCAAAGGTGAAATTTTCCAATTAACGGATTTTGTAAAGAAATGTGGAGAAGCGGTAATAAAT